GGGGGGGGGCATTGGATAGTATTAGGAGGGCCAATTGTCTAGGGTTTGCTGTTGTTTTTCTTTTCTTGTGCTGTTCTAGCGACGTCTAAGATTTGTGGAGATGCGATCTACCTCTCGAACAATAGATCACGTTGAATCTTGTTTATTTTCATTTGTATTAGTAAAATCATCTCTTGTTTGAGTCTCTCCACCTCTCTTTTGCAATTCTCTCGTTGTTTGCTAGTTGTTTTTGGTCCCATAACGAATCAAAATATTATTTAGCACCCCCAATCAACAAGATTATAAAGATGATTAAACTTAAGTTTCCCTAATCGATCCAAAACTCGGGGGCATGGACTGCAAACTTAAAAAGATGGGACAAAAGTAATTCAGAGTGGGAATGGTATGGAAGAGAAGAAAGCATTAAAGTTTAGTCGCTTCCTACCATACCAAGATATTTCATTAGTCAGAAATTTTTTTTAAGAAAAATGCATGTACATACCACACAATTCTTATATATTTACATATCTAGCACCTAAAATTTAATATTTACCTTCATAACACTCAAATCTTTAACATCATATAAAAAATAGTAACTTTTACTAATCTTTTAGAAGTCAAATGCACCTTTTTATTAATAGGTTTATAATAAGGTGTTATACATATCACACAATTCTAATATATTTTCATATTTCACACCCTAAACTATTATATTTACACACATAGCACTTGAATCTTTAATATCAAATCAAAAACAATATTATCATCACTTTATAAAAGTGAAATATACATTTTTTTTCATAGATTTTAAATCACCAAACTGCTATGTATGTAAACATAAAAGTTTTGGTGTGAGATATGTAGACACATAAGAATTATGCGCTAGGTAAGTAAATTTACCTAAATATAAATATAGTATTTTACATAATAGATATGTAAATCCATAAGAATTGTGTGGTACATATGCAAATTACTCCCAACAACAACAACAACAACAACAACAACAGCAAAACCTTTAACCCACTAAATGGGGTCGGCAGCATGAATCCTTTTTCTCCATTGCGTCCTATTTAGTTTCATATTTTCATTTAATTCTAATAAATTAAGATCATTTTTTATAAAATATGCCCAAGTTTTCCTAGGTCTATTTCTATCTTTCTTAACATAGGTCGATTCTAAAATATCTACTGTCCTAATCAGATCCTCAGTTGGTCGACATTTAATGTGACCAAAACATCTAAGGCGACTTTCTCTAATTTTGTCCGTCACTGGAACTACACCAGCCCAATCACGAATATAAAAATTTCTCCCAGAACAATAAAAATATATAAAACAAGCTTGCTTAGCATCATTTTCCAATACAAATATGATGAAGTGTTGTTGTATAAAGCCACTGCAAACAATCATAAAGATCCCTTTTCGCAAGCAAAATATTAAAGAGAAAAGTGAGTCCATCTTACCTCCCCGCTGCGTGCATTAACAAATGCATCAATACGCGAGAAACCTTCCAATCCCAAAGTGTTGGCCACAATTTCAATTCGCTGCTTGCATTTTTGCAAGTTCTCATCACTGTAAAAAGAAACTCTTGCAAACTTATTAAATGAGCAGTTGTGGATCAAAGATAAAGAAAGCACTGCCAATAAAGCTAAAAAAGTATTAAAGAAACAGTTTTATTCATAAAAGTGATGCTATATGAGAATTAAGAAGATTTACATTACATATATATCACTCAATTACTATGTATTTACATATCTAAAAAAAATCTTCAATTTTTTACATACGTCACCTTAACTATATAAGAAAAGGTGTATTTCACCTTTGAAAGATAAAATAGTGCTACTTTTGACGTGATAAGAAAGATTTGGGTGGTATAAACTTAAGAAGAAAAATTTATATGTTAGATATGTAAATACATAAGAATTGGAAGGCATGTATGTAAATACCCCAAAGGATTATCACCGTCGTTATTTACTTTATCTTGCCTATGTGAAATTGACTTTGCGACCAAGGGGAGAATTAGTTTATGGTCCAAATGAGAGATCCATATTAATACACAGAGTGATTGCATCTTAAAATTTTCCTTTGGCTATTGTATTTATGGGCTAAAGTTTTCATGGCTTTGAATATTTTCAAATTTGCAAAATTGGACGTGGAGGATAGAACCAATAGTTAGGATCATAAAATAAAGAATCTTTTGGGGTATTTAGATGTAAATTTGACGTAAAATTCAAATGTCAAATTAATCAACAAACTAAACCCTAAACCCTAAATAACAAAATTTAAAGCTTGTTTGGACTCTAAATCGATCAAATTGGTCCGTAAGAAAGACCCCTCAAAAACCAGAAGCAATAGTACTGAATATTATTTCAATTGAATTTGACCCATTGATTTTCTTCCGAATTTACGCATAAATAATCTTTTTAAGCTGCAACTTAACTGTTTCAATGACAATATTTTTAAACATTCTAAAGTCAGAATCTTCCTCTTCTGATGAAACAATTTTTAAGAAGATGATATTCGACGAAGATGTGTAAATACATAGGAATTGAGTGAAATGTATGTAAATCTTCCTTTTTTAAAAGATGATATTTGATATTCTAAAACAAATGTTACGATTGCATTGTTTTTGTTCTTATGATCACAATAACATAATTACATACTCAAGGAAAAGAAGACTAATAGAAACTCAAAAAGGATGACAAACCTAATAATTGTTGTTGGAGGTGGAGTCAAATTGATGCCAGTTCCACCTGCAAAAAGCATTCATCATCGGTATCAAATATTACGAATATCATCACAAATCCAAAGTTAAAAAATTTTGAAACGTTGAAAAAGTACTAGCTTTTAGAATGAAAAGCAGATCATACAACATAAAAACAAGGAAGGTTTAGATGCATACCACTCAATTCTTATGTATTTACATATCTAACACCTAAACTCCAATTTTTTACATATATATACCACTTACCAATGCATGAAAAGATGTATTACACTTTAAAAAGTTAAAATAATGATATTTTTTATTATAGATGAAAGTTTTGGCGGTATAAATTTAAAGAACAAAGTTTAAGTGCTAGATACATAAATACATAAGAATTGAGTGGTAGGCATGTAAATGCCCCTGAAAATAATTCCTGCATTATTAAATAGATGTTCCTTCTTAGATTCGAACACAACGCAAAAATGAATTTACTCATAAATCTTTTAACGAGACACGACTAGAAACTATTTTACTGATAATTTGTGGCTTTAGATGCTGATCCAGGACTTATGTATCATCGCACTCTTATCTTGTGCAGTGGTTTACTGAACTTGTGTGTTGGGTAGAAAAACATTAAAGGGAAATTTACATACATGGCACACAATTCTTATGTATTTACATATCTCACACCTAAACTTTCATCTCTACATATATAGAACTTTGATATGTATTTTACTTTTAAAAAGTGTTAATAGTGCTATTTTTGATGTGATATTAAAGATATGAGTACTATGTGTGTAAATATGAAAGCTTAGATGTGAGACATGTAATACAAAAAAAATTGTGTGCAATGCATGTAAATGGTCAATCTTAAAATAGGAAAGTTCTCTTTATATTAGAAAAATGGTGTCTGCTTATTTGGATGTACATTAAAACATTGCATTCGTTCTCCATTATAAATAAGGTACCTAAAACACGTCGTTTTTCATATCAAAACATCAAAACAAGAAAAAACCCACCGTAATGTTCCCCCTCCTCTGTAAATCTCAAAGCCATCCATCTCTAACCCCTATTCTTTGTCTAGCAAGCGTCTCCAGACTCTCCTGATCCTGCACCCCTATGCCTTGCTTACCTATATCCACTTCCTAAAACACACAATCTTGTGATCCATACCATCAGAACGCCAATACATATTAAAAATTAAAAAAGAAAAAAAATCCTACTATTTTTTATAAAGACAATTATTATATTATTGATATTAATATCCATATAAATATTCTTCAAAAAATATTATTAAAAAAACTCTTTACAAGCCGCCTGCCTCTTATATCTAAGCCTCGTCATATCCTGAAAATTCATCTAGGTGTCTAAAAACGCACATCACTTATCGCTTCAAGCTTTAATTTAAAAAAAAAAAAAAAAAAAAACTCTCTCCCTTATTTCTCTCATTCCATCTTATCTCCCAACTCTTTTGTGTTTCATATGCTATTGGACCAAATCCTTCTCTCCCTACTCATTTCTCGCAAGCCTCGTTCGGTCCTCCTTAAACCATCCCCAGTCTTCGGAATAAAGAATGCTTCTCTCCATCTCTCTTTGATTCCTACTCAAACTCATGCACGATCCGCTCACATCTTCCCATTCCCCTGCACCCCTAAACAAACAACTCCTCACAAACAACCGCAACAATCTCTCCTTATTGGTCGCATCCAAGAGCCAATCAAAATCTCCCGCTTGCCACCAATCCATCAACCGCTCTCCTATTTTCTCTACCCTCATCATTCCCCACTTGCACTCCTACCCTGTTTATCACTTGAAACCTCTATTGCCGACTCCCACATTCCACAACACTAGTGATAACCCTCTCAACCCACATCTTACAAATGCTTGAAGCTTGTAGTCAGCCCTCTGTTTAATCTCCTCCATCTCGAGCTCATTGTAGCTCTTTCATACAAATGGTAGTTGTCAGAACTTAAGCTCACCAACCCTCAGTGCTCCACCCAACTAACATGTCGTCTAATGGTGCTATCAACTCTAACACATACCATTAACCACCTCTGACGTCGCCGTCAAGTCCAAGGACCTCCTACCCGAATGCCTATCTTCATCAAACCAGTTCCTACAATCACTCACTCCCATTCTCACTCTCTCTTCCTCGTATATAAAAAGAGAGGAGGTATTTGCAAAAGGAAGAAAAAAAAATATTTAGAAGGAAGAAGTGTTTATATCAATTTTGGCGCCTCACATCATTTTCAAAAGCAATTGTATCATGAAAATACAAAATGCAAAGCAAGCTCCCCTCGCCATAACATAAGCACCTATAGGCGTGTTGTTCAACTTTTTGATTTTGAAAATAATTTTGGTAAAGTTAATTTAATATAAGAGGTATATAGTTTTGGTTTTGAAAGTAGTATGTTTTAATTTTCGAAAAATGAGACCAAATGGATCTCATTAGTCTAATGGTTTGCATACTCGTGTCTGATACTGCGAATACTATACCTTCCCGAAAGATAAGTGTATATCTCGGCGATGGGTCCAATCCCGCCAACTAAGAGATTTGTGACATCCGTTTGACCTGCGAACCTTTTATATGTGACCAACAAGTTCTCCTACCTAATATAAAGATTAAGTAGGGTTTATTTTACCTGGTTTTCAAGTTCTCTATAGAGGCAAGACCCTATAGTTAATTACATCCCAAATGACGAGGGTCACTTAAGAAAACTCATGATGATGATCAGAGATACTAATCTTTAAGATTTTCAAGTTTAGATTTTCACGGTATGACGTAGAAAAACAAATGAGAGTGACTCAAATAGAAATAGTTATTTTCAGGAGTTCGAAGGAAGAAAAATGTATGATACATCACAGATCCTAAGAAAAATCCTCAATGACTTCCCAAAATATTCTACTGCGTGGCTGCATTTTGGAGGCGATGTTATTTAAGTGTTTAATCCTGTCAATTTTATTATTTGAGACTTACATTTGCATAATATCCGATTATGCAAATAACCCGCAGAGATATGAGAATTTACGTCTTACTGAACGACAACCTCAGATCCTAAGACGAGTTAAGACTTACGCTGCACAACTTGGTTGCATATGAGCCTAAAGAGGGTGTGAAGATTTACGTCATGTTAGGCGAGCTACCTTGAAATCCTATAGATTGTTATTTACACTAAGGAGAGATTACTGAAGAAAATCCTCTTGTTACTCAATCCAAGCTCCTTGTCATGCTGCCCACAAAGTTAGCTCCAAGTAGCAGTCCTAAACTCTTCCAAATAATTAAATCAAAATTTGCCATTTTAACTTAACCATTTCAAGGGAAATAAAATAAAAGAAAGAGGAAGGCTGACCCACTTCCAAAACTAGCAAAGCAAAGGGGCTTTGGAGCACCGAAGAGGTGAGCGGGGGAAGAAGAAGGGGGCTTCTGTGCCGAGGAGAAGAGGCGAGCGGGGGGAGCCGAATGCCAGGACTGTGAAACCCGTTGAATTGTATAGTCATAATCTTCTAAGTGAACGTTACGCGAGATTAGGCGGGGAATTAAACAATTGGGAAATCTTAACTCTCAATTAAGATGAGATTAAATGGCCCATTTGAAATTTGAAAATTTGAAATTTGAAACTATGTGAGCTAGGGTAATTAGCCCACGTTAAGCCAGGATCGAACCCGAATTGAACATGGGTTCAGCCTAGACCCATACCCTCTAAATTAAAAAAATGTGCATCAATTTTCATGCCATTTGCGCGCGTGCGAAACTATAGCAATATGAGTGTCTTTTTTAGCTAAAACTAATGTTCCGGACGCTCTGACGTGGTTCGTTTCGTCATCCAGGGTCGTCTGGAAAAGTTTGCCGACTGTCAGGCCAAAAATGCGTCAAATTTAATTTTAAATTTTGGGTTCTTGACGAATCATTTTGAAAATCGATTTCAGTTTAAATGTCGATGTAATGTGTGAATTGTGGTGTTTGCGTTGCCAAGTCATAAAGGGTTCACCTATGGCCGTCTGATCCTATAAGAACTCCTTTTCAGACCCTCTACATGTTAGTTCTTAGCCCATGCAACTAAGAGTCGAGCGCTTGAGACTACTCATGCGAGGTCTTCACAAAAATGGGTCAAAAAGTTATTCAAAGTTCTATGGGAGGTGGGCTCCATTATTAGTCCTCTAGGATGACCAATAAGAAACTCCTAAAGCTAGATCCTAGGTTATAGAAGAAAAAACTAAGACCTCACTGAAAATGAGGTCAACAACACGTTGTTCCAACACAACTAAAATTTCAAACATAAGTACTAGGGCAAATTATTCCATTGCTCTAAAGCATAAAACAACTATTCATTCATTCTCAATAACAACTTGAATATCCGGTACTATTTGCTTTGTTCAAGTTTTTCGATAGCCTGTTAAGTTCCCCATTGTGCCATTCATAGTACATTATCGGGTTCTTCATTGAAAAAGATAAAGCTATTATATTCCTCTTAATTTATGTCTATAAATTTCAGCCGATATTATGTTTTATGAAACCAATCTTTATTTCCTCCCTCATCTAGAGTGGGGACCATTAACACATACATAAGATGTGTGAGTGTTTGTTCAAACTTAAGGGTGAGTTACAATATATAAACATTAAAATAGGAATGCACTCTAAATTTGAAAAGAGGCGTAAGTTTATTTGGGTGTACTTTGAGCACTATGCTCATTCCCACTTCATAAATTCAGAGAGGGGGCGTTCTTTAATAAATAAGACAACTATTTTCTCCTCAATACCGTACAAGTGTCATGTTTTAAAATTTATTAAAGATTTGGAGCATTTACATAAATACCACCCAATTCCTATTTATTTACATGTCTAACAATTAAAATATACTTTTTACATTTATTCCACTCAAATCTTTCATATCACATAAAAAATACTACTATTTTAATTTTTAAGAAATGAAATACACACTTTCATGCATAAGTTGAAGTTTAGATGCTAGATATGTAAATACATAGGAATTGAGTGGTATTCAAGTAAATTTACAATTAATATCTAATATACTTTTTAAAGTAAAAATTATATTACCGTAATATAAAGGTGTCTATCGCTTGCGAGGAAAAGCATGTAGTTTCCATAAAAAAATGACCTAGACAATTTTATAATTTAAGCCAAACCATTAACCAAACTAATAGTAGAACAAACATAAAAAAAGATTTGAACCACATAATTAAGCTTTATACTAACCTTGAAATTTCTCTTCGAGTGAAAGAATGTCACCAGTTTCTTTAACAGTAATACTTGGGCTCAATGAGCGCATATGCCCTTTATGACCCATAACACCTACTGTCACTTCAACCCATTCGTTTTGTCCTTTCCACGTTAGATGGCGAGTACAACCATCGGCCGATTTGGAAGAAATGACTATTTCATCAGTTTCGACAAATGGCTCGAATATGAAAAACTTCGATGGAGGGTTTGGCATCTCTATCACACCATGTGCCTAATAAGATCACAACTCTTGAAATGACAACTTTAACTCGAAAAACATTCAAAAAAAGATAAATTTAAAATGACTAGAATAATGTAATTTCCAAAGATGATATTTTTGTTATAGATTCCTATGCTTCTTGCTTATTTGGAAGATCTACATGCATGCCGCTCAATTCCTATTCATTTACTTATGTAACACCTAAATTTCAATTTTTTTACATGCATGCACCACCTTCCCTATGCATGAAAATGTGTATTTCATTTTTTTAAAGTTAAAATAGTGGTAATTTTGATGCAATGTAAAAGATTTGTTTGGTTTATATACATAAAAAAATAAACTTTAGGTGTTAGATATGCAATTTCATAGCAATTGAGTGGTATGCATGTAGATGCCCCTTCAGTTTTTGAAGTATGAAAAGCCTAGTGCATCGATTTTAAGAAAGTAAGATAATAGAAGCATTTTCGTAAATACCACCCAATTCCTATGCATTTACATATCTAATACCCAATTCCTGTGCATTTACATATCTAATACCAAAATTTTATTTTTACCTTTATACCAACCAAATCTTTCATATTACATAAAACATACCACTATTGTAACTTTTAAAAAGCGAAATATGTCTTTTCATGTATAAGGTAAAGTGGCCCATGCAAAAATTAAAGTTTAGGCGTTAGATATGTAAACACATAGAAATTGAACGGTAATGTACTCTCCCTAGATACTATCAGGTCCTTAAACCAATTTCTGACCCAAGAATTTATGGAGAAGAATAGATAAAAAGTTCAGATCTTCATGATTGCAATGTATCAATATTAGAGGTGATACTGACCTTAGACAAACTATTGGCAGGAAGCGTTGGAAGGCAGTTTTCTAATGCGCTCACATAAACTTTCAGATCCTCCTCACATCTGCAAAATCAGCATCAGAGGTTTATGACGCCAAGGTTTTATAGGTGTAAATATCAAACATTTGTGAGTTAGATGTGTAAAAACATAAGAATTGTGTGGTATGTATATAAGTTTCCCTATATATATATATGGGGTATTTGCATAAATACCACACAATTCTTATGTATTTATATATCTAGAACCTAAACATTTATATTTACATGCATAAGACTCAAATCTTTAACATCACATCAAAAATACCACCGGCACTCTTTAAATGTGAAGTATAACATTTCATGCAAGGGTTTATGACACCAAGGTGTTATATATAAATACACCTTGGTAAGTTTGGGTGTTGTTAGATATCTAAATACATAAGAATTGTGTGGTAAAAATGTAAGTTTCTCTATATATAATTGTGTGGTACATGTATGTATATATCTGTGCGTGTGTTGTGTGTTGTGTGTTCAAACAAATATTAGGTATGAAAGATCGCCACATCTAATAAGATAGGATATACACAAGAACATTTATATACATACCACCCATTTCTTATATATTTACATATCTAACACCTAAACTTTGCCTTTTACATTTATACGACTCAAAGACTCAAATCTTTCATATCCTCAAATCTTTCATATCAATTAAAAAATACCATCATTTTAACTTTTTAAAAGGGAAATACACTTTTTCATGCATTGGTAAGGTGGCATATTTGTAAAATTAAAGTTTAGGTGTTAGATATGTAAATACACAGTGGTATGTACGTAAATCTTCTGGTAAACAAACCTGAGTCTAGCAACTCCAGTTGAGCATCCATCCCGAGCAGGCTTCACACACAATGTTTCTGAATGAAGCTTCGTGGTCAAGTCATGCCATATTACGGGTATAGATGAAATTATTAGTTCATCAGTCCTCTTCACTTCCTTGGGTAGTGTAAATATTCCGAGATTTTGCATCTGTAACGAATAATGAGCATGTGCAAATCAAAACAAGAAAATAATTTGAAAATTAACAATACTAATGGACATGAATAAATAAATTTCATCTCCAACACATGCTTGAGCGACAAATTTTGAGAACACATAATGCAATTCTTTTCTGAAGTGCATGCAGCACAAAATTTGCAACTTAAGAAAGCAGTTCCTTTTCATACTCGAGATTTTGTAATTTTGCTGATTATGAGAAAATTTATGCTTTCGACATTCTGAAACAGCAAACTCCCAGAAAGCAAATCCTTCTATGGATAAAAGAAAGCTCAGTGAGGTTAATGCGGGGGTCAACTTAATGCGCGCGGGAACGTCAAATAGCAGATGTGCTAGTCGCGCCCCGCTCTTGAACCGCACCAGTCCAGCATTCTGACAGGCTCACCGGCCCTCCAAGCCAGTGAATGGTCATCCACTTGGGGTGGGGCCACCTTTGATATCTAAAGCTTATATAATTGATTCTTATGTTTTACCTTTTCAGTTTTGATTGTGTTTCTGTTAGGATAGCCGTCAGTGTCTCTAGCTTTCCCTTCTAGGGTTGTATCCAAAGGCGAGTGGTGCTCCGACTGTATCTAGTTCCGAGGTGGTGGTTATCTTCCAAGGGTCGAGTGGTGCTCTGCCTGTATCTTGCTCCTGAGATGGTATTTATTCTTCCCCAACACCTCGGCAACCTTTCCCCCGCAGCTGCCGTCTTTTAATGCAACCGCCAGAAAACAACCCTCATTGGCTGTTTGACTGCAGTTCCCACCCTTCAAACTACCACATCCTTCCCCGTGACGCTTCCCAATGTTACTTGTCACCTTCCCTGATGTAGCCGCCCATAGAAAACATTCCTTTGTTGTGATCCTACAGCCACCCGCCACCCCTACCATCCCAGCCAAGTGATCACCATTTCCCCCATACCCGTAGGTTACCATCGCCGTCCAAACCTCCTTATTGGGTTGTTTCCGCCTAGGACAGTAGCCTTCTGCTGTTGTATCACTGTTTTTCTACAGTCTGGCACCTTTCCAATTGCACCGCCACCTTCCCAGGCCCCCCTACTGCCTCCACCACCATCTTGAAGTTGCCCTAGCCGGGATTGTGTTATTTTCTATTTTTGTTTGTGTGGTTGTAATTCTCTAATAAAATCAGCAATTATTTGCTTTCTTTTTATGGTTTGGGTTAACTCCGGTATCATGTGGTATCAAGGTTAGCTGGCCCTAATCCTACTTTAGGATTTCTAGCATCCACCAATACTCATCCCTACCTTCCCACAAAAATCTTTCCCTTTGCTAATTTTTCAAAATGGCAACGAAAAATTTTTTTTTCCCACCCAACATCATCCCTATACACCATCTTTCATCTGCTCAAACTCAAACCCCAACCCCAACCCCAACCCCAACCCCAACTATGCCACCGAAGAGACTATTGTCAAAGACTTGTTTGGAAGGAAATGCCACAATGTCATTAATTCTGTTTATGAGAAATCTGCAAAAAGTTGTTTGAGAACCTATAGAGAATATGCAGAAGAAATCTTCCAACTGCAACAGATGTTTACCACCTTCGAGAGGAGGTAATCCATAAGGGTTACTCAAAGCCACGACAGTGACTTGCCAGATAGAAAAAATACAACGAATCCAGTCTGTCGAGCATATTTCAAAGATGAAAAGCCACCACCCCGAAGACTTTGCATGAAATATCAGAGAATCAAGGTTTTTGAAGTAAAAAAAAAATTGCTATATTTTGGCAGGCACATGCCAAGTGGCTCTGAACAGTAGAACGTATGTTTGAGTATCATGACATCACACCGGAATTTGCTTACGATAATAAGTTATAATTTATTTATGAACTTCACAATCTTTTTATGATAATAAGTTAAATCGAGCTTGTTGAATATCTTTTTGGTTCAACATGATGATAGTTTGTTTAGTTTACAAAAGAATTCAACTTTTAAAATAATCACTTGACTTCTCTTGATGCTGCAAAACATATGCATCAAACAAGAATCACTTGACCAATTTTTTTTTTTGGTCACTGTGTAGAACATATGTAGACAATCAATAAGGCCCTTACACATTAAACCATGCACCCGGCCAAAACTCGCTACCATTTTTGGTAGAACATGTAAAATAAATGAAATAAGATACCGAGATCAAAATATGTAGCCAATAATTTATTTACCATACATTTGTAAGCACAAGAGAGGTCGACACTTTATCCATACAAGTATTTGAGGCGGTTGGACCAGGACCTGAATATTTTAAAACTAGTAGCTTTATCGCATCTACTGTAAAATTACACGTTAAAGATAAAAATTTCTTTAAAAGACAAACCTGTGTATGGAACTCCCGCAGTCTCTAACAAAGATTGTAAGGTCCCATCCTCACCAATACCGCCATGCACTGAGAAACAATATTGGCAACATTTATAATGCATAAAAAATGTAAAATAGAAAGCCTAATTGTCTAAACTATAAGATGATGACGACAAAAACTGTGAAACACTCCAAATAATGATACAAACAAGTACACATGAATTGATACTTCAAAATAAAATTTGCCAAATAAACTGGAGTGAAAATGCATTATCATTTCCTTAAAAATACCAACAAAAAAAATTTTTAAATATGAAAATAAAAGTAAAAATTGTGAACAAAACAAAGGAAATAGATAAATAAATACTTCATGGTTTCAAACTAGAAAACAAATTTGCTTTTGATAAGTATCATTTGAATCATTCAACAAGGGGTTTGACAAGTTTTTTATGATATTACTTTGTAATCCTAAGACCAATCCAACATAAAGTTCTTATATTTGTAAAATTCACACAATTTATGAAAAATTTTTAATTATTTTTCAATTTTTATTGGAGTTAAGATTAGAGCAATGTTCAGAAGCACAAAAGACAAAATCGATGGAAGATTTGGAGCATTTGTAATAGTTTAATAATGCTGAAAAAAAAAGAAAATTCTCAACCTAATGAATCTTATTGCTTAATAGTTTTTCAAAATACTGTATGCCGATTTATTAATACCTTCAACTTCAAGAAAAATGGTTCATTGATAGCATTAATAAATTGAGAAACATGTAGCTAATTTCAAAGTTTGACATAATTTTACGATAATCTACATTGAACTTTTACGCATTACCGTTCACTTAAAATAGCTAATATACAGATCTTTTAGTGCACGGCACTCCCTGTCAAGGTCAGATGCAGCAACAAAGTTTGATCTTTGAAGCAAATGAGACTTAATTTAATCATAAATTATGTAGTGTAAGTTTCAACGAAAAATCTAGTCTAAAAAAAAAACAGAAAGTAGCAAAAGAATCCGTAAAATATGTTTTCAAGTAAATATTATGGTAGATTTATGTTTTCCTTGTGTGCGATTAACTTCTAGCATTACTCCGCACGACACTTCTTTAATTAGCATTGTCACGACCCGACCCGGAGATTGGAATTAACCAAGACGGAAACAAACGGTCGGACGGTGGAAAGTAAATTTTCTATATTCGTATACAATTTAACAAATGAAAGAACCACTAATCAAATTAAATTAAAACAGTAAAATTAAACTTGCCTCATTACTGGTTGCTCGCGTCTTCTATAAACGTTATATCTTCTAATGCTCATTGTTAATCACTTAATTAACCTAAAAAATTGGTTTAAAATAAAAATGAGCTAAACAAGTCAGTGAATACTTATACACATGGACCACAGTAAAAGAAAAGGAAAGTAAAAGGCACGCTAATTAAGCTTTTTTAATAAATAATTAAAATCATTTAATGTTATTCAAAAAACCTTTCTATATTAACAACATATCAGTATCATAATATATCAGTATAACCGTTACATGAGCACCATCTAAAAATTATGTAAATTAAGATACATCAACATCAATATCATTTTCCATGTACGTGTATCAGTATCATAGTGCTCCACCACTGGTACCATCAAAAGTTGACTCCATCATAGTCAAACATATACATATAATCACTCTATATAGATTATATCATTCACAATTTCATACCACTCAACATATAATACTATAATGCATTAATTACTTCAAAATATGATATTATAAGCATTCACATCAAAATGACTAATAAATTTTAAAAATAGAAAAATAAATTGCATTAATCAAGCATGAATAACAATCCATACATGTTTAGAAGAGCTACTAAAACATTACTGTAATTTAAAAGTAGTGCTCACCTCGATGTTGATTAATTCATGCTTGACTTTGCCTTGACGTCAATTCTTCTAAATTAGAAACCTAATCATAAACGTGATATTTAATTAATTTATTATTTTAATAAACTATTATCTTTTTATTAATTAAGTATTAAATTTACTTATCTAATCCCTCTTAATTTTTTATTTTATATATATATATATATAAATATATATATATATATATATATATTTTACGATACAACACACATAAACACCCCAAAAGAGAAAAGATGCACCAAAAAAAAAAGTACCAAAATCGCAGAAAAGAGTAGCTAGTGACGAGCCATTTTAGTCCTGCCTCTGCCTCTAATTCTAGGCAAGATCCAGATAACAAATTGTTGAGTGCCGAGCCATTTCCCGAAGTAACCGAAGTATCATCCATTAGGTTCCCTAGCTGAAGTTTGCCTCCAATCTTCTTCTTCCTCCTTGAATAGACCTGTCATTCCTCCTCAGAAGACTGGCTCATCTAATCATCGTGTTGGTAAACAGAACGCCAGACAGATAAAAGCTGATGAGCACCAGAAGAAGGATTGTCAACTGTTGCAACGACTGTAGGTTCAAGTGTGTGTGAAACATGAAATGTCTCCTCTTCACCTAATGCTTCCTGCAGCTGAGGAGGGTTTGAAAGTGTAGGTTACTCAACAGTGCCATCTAGCTTCTCATCGATTGCAAAAATAAAATTTTTAGAGGGAGGATCCACAGGGGTGATTAACTCAGACACCATAAGCTGTTCTGTGGTAGTTTTCTCTTAAGATGGAACAAATATATTCAAAGCAGTGGGGTCAGATCCATTATTATTCACTTGATCTTTAGATTTCAAATTAGGATGAAGCTTATAGCATTTATCAAGATTGTGCCCAAACATCATACAATGAGAACAATAAGGAGGTCTATGCTCCATAACAATTTGTTGCCAATATCCATTGTGAGTTGTGCCCAACCAGACTTCAGTAACATCAGGTAAACTAATATCTCTTTCAACAAGTATTCTGATTACAAAAGGTTTGATTAGGTTAAAAGTTGGTAGATCTAGCTTCAAAGGGTCCCCAAGTATGACACCAATAGAGTAAAGAACCTGATGGTGAAAAAAGTGTAGCTTAAGATTAGGTAGACTAAACCATACCGTACAGTAGAAGATTCATGCTTGGGGTCAAAATCAGGGGCCCACTTGAGTAGCTTCAATGGTTTACCAGCAATATTGAGATATTTTTTGGAAAAAATCTTAGAGTGTCTTTAGGCACGGTTAGTTGAATTAATACGCGTCTCCCATCTATGAGCCCTACTTTCGACTTTCCTGCTAATTTGAGATCATCAAAACTTTTCCTGATAACTTCCATAGGTGGATGTCCCCACTGAAATTTTCCAATAAGAGCAAACTTGAATTTATCAGTAAGTGATGAAATTTCTAGCTCAGAGAAAAAAAGTGTTGTTTTTCACTTTTCCTGCTTGCAATCTTGATAAAGGGGCAATCACCTTCCCGTTGCTCCTTATAACTTGAGGGGAAGATAACCGCCGAAAATTACTCACCACGTGGGCAAAGGAGATTTTGCCCGGTTCAACCGTAGACGAAGGAAGCTCCATCACAGCAAATCACAGAAATCACAACAAAAAAGCTCTGCCAGGCAATTGTCAAAGCCGCAAAACTCGCAGCTCAACGAGGCAGAGTTGCAAAAAACGAGAGCGAGAGGAGAACCAGACAGACGTGACGACGAAGACAAGCCGAAATGTCGCGACGACCGCGCAGACGAGACGACCACGCAGACGAGACGACTATCGCAGCTCGACGCGGCTCGCAGCTCGACGTCCACAAGAATGAGAATATGAGGATTCAACCTAATTGATAGATAATCTGCTTGTTTTTGACGTCGACTCTTCTAAATTAGAAACTTAATCATAAACATGCTATTTAATTTATTATTTTAATAAAATATTATATTTTTATTAATTAATTAATTATTAAACTTTCCCTCTTATTTTTTATTATGTATATATATATATATATTATTATTATTAAGTTTTAATATTAAATCGATTTAATAACACTACCTTGGTCGAATCACGCGAAGGCCGCACATGACTATGTCTCTCCTTCCTTCCCCTGAGAGCTTCTTCTTCGATCACATACGGCTTCAGTTTTCTCCCAGTCGAAGTCACCATTTGTGCACAGAATCACACAAACCGGTCGCCTCTTCGATCACATAGATAACGCCACTCTTCTCTTACAATCTTTGCCCTAGCAACACTCACTATAGCCACCGAAACTTGCGCAATTGAGAGCCCTCCTATATTACCGTTCGACTCTCAAGTAAGTCCTTGCCTCACTCATATGACAATTTATAAGACAAACTCATCTCCTTGGCTTCCGACCGCCTTGCTTTCTCCATGCATGAAAAAGTGTATTTCACTTAAAAAAAAAAAAAAGGCAAAAGCGCTATTTTTTATGTGATATTAAATATTTGAATGCTATGTGTGTAAATATAAAAATATAGGAGCGAGATAAATAAATACATAAAGAATTGTGTGTTGTATATGTAAATGCCCCTTCTAAGAATTCATACTTATGCATCCAAAAGGAATATAAAATCACACAAAATTGCAAATTAGAACGAAAACATTTCACCGCTATAGCCTTGAGAAACAGACATGCAATAAATACTGTCGCTTGAGCTTCTTTAGCATACACGAGCCATTGCTCCAGCGTAAGTTTTAGCGGGATCTCTTCGATTATATCAAACCCTGTAAACCAATCATGCTTTGATAGGCCTTCAAGAAGTTCATTCATAACAAGCTTGCTCATTTGGGAAGCTAACAAAGCCCTGTTTGGCTCAATGGCCTCTAAACAAGCAGCGAAGACTTCATCTGTAGTATGACGTAGGACGAGTGAATAACTGTTACCAAGAAATAAATTTCATGTTAGAAAGCATAAATATGATTGCCTAGCTGTCTTGAAAGATAATAAATTAATGGAAGATTTAGATACATACCACTCAATTCCTAGTTTTTTACATATCTAGCACCTAAACTTCAACTTCAACATAATAACATCTTATCTATGCATGAAAAGACAGATTCACCTTTTAAAAGTTAAAATGGTGGTAATTTTGATGTGATATGAAACATTTGAGTGGTAAAAATGTAAAAATTAAAATTTAGGTATGAAACATGTAAATACATATGAATTGAGTGGTATGTAGATAATTGCCCCTAAATTAATCCAATCTTAAATATATAAATTAAAGATTATCAGACTGATTGTTGAAGCCTTGTTGTAAGTAACATACTCAATTTCCAACCATCATTTATTTATTTTGCATATTTAAATAAATCTATATATATATATATATATATATATATATGCATGCATGTATGTATATGTATAACATGAGTTGTTGCATTGTCCTAGCACAATAATGAAAAGCTATAGGCGGGGACTAAATTTTTTTTTCCGGAGTTTCCTCATATCACATTAAAACCAATAGGAATTTATACAAAGCTATATGTTCCAAATTTCCAAGAGTTATACTGAAAATATTACAGTAGAATCAAGGATAGAATAAGTAGGTAATCATGGCTAAATTAGATGAATGAAATTAAAATAATATTTAAAAAATAGGGTCATTTACATACGAACCACAAAATTTTTATATATTTACATATCTAACACCTAAATTTCATTACAGGCATAGGACTCAAATCTTTAACATTACATAAAAAATGCAATGGATACTATTTAAAAGTGAAATATGCCTTTTCATACATAAATTTATACGAGTCATAAATGTAAATATCAAACTTTAGCTCTTTATATATGAAAATACATAGGAATTATGTGGTAATTATGTTAACTTCCAAGAAAAAATAATGTTAATTCTGATGGTTTCAAATATATTTATATGTGCAAAAGTATGAAGAAAACTAAATTGCAGTACTATGCAATTGGATACTACGAAAAGGATCATTAAATTGGGAAGCAAACCTATCAAGAGCTCCATAAATTTAATAATAAATTTTGGAATACTTCAAAAGATACAACAATATAAAAACCCCTATGAGAGATTAGTGAAAAAACTTATCTACTTATCAGATACTAGATCTAATTTGCCTAGATTATTGGCATGGTGAGTCAATACAAGCACACTTCTAAAGAATTAAGCTTTAGGGTTATAGAATATATAATTTTTAAATATTTGAAGGGGGCTTCGAGCAAAAAAATTAAATAAATAAATAGATTCAAAAAGACGAAGTATCTTAAGCCTTGAAGCTTATATAGATGCAAATTAAGTATATTTTAAATTTAGCAGGAAGTCAATATCAACATAGTGCATTTTAATAGAGGACAACCTCATGACTTGGAAAAGAAAAAAGGGAAATTTGATAGCAAAATTTAATGCATAAGTTGAATTTAGTTCCACAGCATTAATAATTTGTGAATTACTTTGGTTAAGATTTATTTTGGAAATCATAAACTTTACATGAATGGAATGGTCATATCAAGCTCTATCATGGTAACAAACCGGTCGCCATAACACATAATATTACACTATAACCAAACAAGACATGTTGAAATTGATAGACAATTTATAAAGAAAAAAGTTTTGACAGTAATCTTATATGTACTCTATTCATAACAAAGGAAATAACTTGCAGAATATGAAATGTCTCCTAGACCCATGCATCCAACCTGGCCCAACTCCTAGACTTCTTAAGCCAAACCAACCCCTCGACTTCAAAAAGACAAGAAGCAAAACATGCATGCTAAATTTCCTCTAGCTGGCCCACTAAGCACGTATCATCCGTCCTCTTTCCATCATCTCCATTGTTGCCTCATGGAGCTGTGAGTTTGCTGCTACTTACACATTAATTCGTGGGATTATTATAATTATTATTATGATTAATTATATTTTCTGATTTTGCATATTTCCTAGTAGAAGCTTTACTAGAATTATATAAAATATACACAAATATTAGAATGAAATACTTAATCAATTACCTCTAATTCATGTTGGATGCCTATAATACAAATATCAAAAAAATATAATTCAAAATAGACTATTATTTTGTAGTCATGTTCTACTTCCTAATTCATTATAGAATATCTAATTAGTATAACAAGATTTACCTGATAATCATAATTAATACATTTCATAAATTAGTTTACTTATCATTTAAGGTATATATTTTTTAAGTTTATAAGTGAGACTTTTGCTCACATGATTATTTTTATCGATAAATAGAACTAATAAAATAGTTGTATCTAATCTGTAGTTAATGCTTACCAATAATCAAATAACAAAAATGAAAAGAATCAAAACCATGCACATGCTAATTGGAAAAAATAGTATTAAAAAATTTAGTAGTTGTCATTAACTACAAAACTCCTTGACAGGATCCATGAAATTCAACATTTCTTTATGGCACAATCTTATAGAAGTACATAGAAAAGAATTTGTGGAATTGGAGTGAATTGATAACTAAGGCATTCCAGACATGACCATGAGAAAAACAACCTTTAGCTTAGGTAAGCAAGGCTAATCTGGGAGGGATTGGATTGGATGTAATACGATGCCTCACTTAAAAAATGAGAGAAAAAATGAGTTTAATTTAGAATGAATTTGATTTAAAACATATTAGGATGTAAATTGTTATGAAATGGCTAACTTAGATAGTGCTGAAAATAATGTGAAAAAAAATACTACAATACATATTCAAAAGTTTTGAAATACTGATAAGAAAATTTCCACATGCTTAAAGCAATATTTTCTATTATTTTCTCAATTATTTTGATATTCTATTGTATGTTTTCAAGAATTTTCATCATCACTCAACTTTTCCTAGTTTCTCTTATTCTTTAAAAAATATCTCAAATTACCAGGAACATTTCTTTTCTCTCGACTCCCTAAAGATTCAATGCACGCAATGTGGTATAAATTATAGAGCTAGAGAGCAAGTTTGCAAGCCTTCCAAAGTGATAAAATTTGAGTATGATGTCCCTCTAGAAGCAAGAGACATAGTTTGGAGCCGCACCAACTAAATTTGCATTGACATATTTTTTGGAACACATGTAGTATTTTGTATTCTAGTATATTGGCATGCTTCTCAAAGCACGCATGGCATTCTGGCATGCCTCTAATGGAATTGGAGTTTGCCTGGTGAAGCATATCCAACGCCTAAAATTGTATATATTTTTAACTACTTGTGCGGCTCTTCCTTCATTGGCAAATACATTGTCATTGGAATATACAACTTCTCATTTCTGCAAATCTAGTTCCAGTTTGGTTATTAGTTTTTTCCGTACATACATGCAAACTTATTAACATGCATTTAGGAGATTTTTTTATTTTATTTATCAGTCTGCTTAAAGGCTTACTTGAATACATGAGTCGTGACGTGCAGTAAGTACTCAAAATGATGCCATTTGTTTATATTTTGTATGCATCACCAGACCCTGCAAAGAAGAATGCATGCCTATAAATAAAGGTTACTTTCATGTTATTTTTGTGCCAATATTGAGTCCATAGTGCTCCAAGAGACAGTACGATGGTCCTGCTCACATTCCTTAGCAAGCTACAAGGTCATGTAAGTTTATTTATTTCATTCTTTTGTCCTGCTTTTTAAGATTTGTACATTTTGGGCATTCATTGTCTTTTTAAATTCAACTGTGCCATGCTTTATCCAAAAATTATTGTTTTTTACTTATAAGTGATTTTCAACAATTTGTACATGTCAACCCTAGCATGAGGCATTACGAAACAGAACAAACTTACCCATCATGTTAAGAAAGTTATGCATACGCAGTGCACAAAATACCACAATAAAAGTTGCCTCATACTAAATAAAAAAAAAGAAGACTATGGATGGTGTGCAAAACACTTGGACTATATGTCTTTGGATCCACCACACCAAGAAAGGCGTGCATGGATAATCGAGTAGAGTTTCCAAGAAAGGAAAACACAAAATAACACGATATAAATTTCTCAATGCATAAAAATATATGTGCACGGGGCATACAAGGAACCTATGAACACATGCACAAACTAGATCAATATGAAGCAGCCTTCCCGGACTACTTCAAAGTTTAAAACCAATCGAGGCAATCCATTTGGCAAAATAAATGATCTTAATGTTTTTTGAGTTAATATTTTATCAAACTAGGTGTGTCTTTGTTGTCATTATGTATGACTCAATTGCCTTATGGGTTGCATAAGTAGGCCAACAAATATATAATTATCTTTAATTTATTCAAGTTATAGTTGAGTTTCTATTATTTGTTTATTTCATTTAACTTTGTTTTAAAAATATATAGAAGTTTTGAGCAAATAATGGAAATCCATCCTTTGAATTTATGTAGGATCTTTATGGCTGTGTAACCCTTTCTTCCTCACTCATGCATTAGGTTGTGCACACTTTTTCCAAAATGAACCTCAAACCATCACACAACATAACATTTCACCACCATATTCATAGCTAACAGAAGCAACATTATAAATTAAGTTTCATAAAAAAAAAAGATGTTTTTAACATGTGCATTAGTGCAATGAAGTGTTTAGAAACATTCTAAAATATTTTAAGTTTATTTGGCATCTTATAAGTTAGATGCCAAGTTTTGCATCATTATTATTTGCATCAAAATCCATACAAAACTATAAAAATCTAAGAGTTTTAAAAAATGAATGTAAATTCAAGATTTACCCTTGTATTCATTCTAGAAGTTAAATATTCATAATTTTCTCATTACAAATAGATTGTTTATGAAATAAAAAAAGTCATTCTAGTTATTCAATTTTTCATTATAAAATTTAAAGCACATCACATCACAAGACATCACTAGAAAATGTCAGCTACTATGCTCAAAATTTTCTCGAGGGGTTCAGAAGTTGTCGAATAATGACCGTAAATAATCCCAAGATAGATTGATCAATAAAAGGAGATAAAAGAGCCGCACGTGGCATTCTATTCCAGATCATTTGAATAAAAAAAACGAAGAATGACATACATACCACTCAATTCCTAAGTATTTACATGTCTAACATCTAATCTTCAAATTTTACATATATGCAACCTTAATTAAGCATGAAAAGGGGTATTTCACATTCTATAAGTTAAATAATGATATTTTTGATGTGATACGAAAGGTTTGGGTGGTATAAATGTAAACAGTAAAGTTTACGTATTAGATATGTAAATACATAGGGAATTCGGTGGTATGCATGTAAATGCCCCTAAAAGAAGGTAGTACTTACGGTAATAACCAAACAACATTTGAAGAGCTAATTTCATATATGTCCCCATGATTGGCAGATGCATATCCATCAGTAGGTGCAAGCATACAAGGCACCACATCAAGCTGGAAGAATAAATAAAGGTAAGCTTAGAAAATCAACTAATATAAGCATTATAATGTTGCAGGAAACTGACATTTATTAGTAGAATTACAACATGCCATTCAAAATTTAATTGGTAATAGAGTATTTGAAAGATACCAAACTTTATTTTAGCCATATTTAACTTAAATCCTACCAAACGATTAAAATGGCAACTTTAAATCCCACAGAATCTTAAATCTAGTTTCTCCTATGTTTTTCCTTAAATGAAGGCATTGGCTGAATTTAACTTAAATCCACGAGTATTAGAAAATCTTTGCATTCAGCTGCTCACTTTGACACTTCTTCTCATGCTTCTGTTGCAACTCTGATACGATTTGAGAGAATTTCTCACATAAATTAGGGCAAACAATATTTTTATTTCAAGAACATCAAACAACACAACACAAATACATAAGATAAAATGCCAACAATTTGAGAGGTAGGCGATCTCTCCAAAATCTTACAATTTGAGAGGTAGGAAATCTCTCCCAAACCTTAACTCTAAGACTCAAGACAACAATCTTATGCATAACCCTAATCCTAAACCTATTGGGCATATTTATACTAAACAATAACAAATAACTAAAGACTAAATTGCCCTTAGGCACTGGCGTAACAAAATTCCACTCCCAAAAAGACACATTCTCCTTAAAGTGGTAAAAAGTGAGTGTGTTCCTCCACCACCACAACCTTCTATGTTTCTTCATCCCCTGCTTCCTCATCACACACAGTTAGAACCTATAATGTTTGAATCTTGCAACAGTGTCCTGAGGGAAACTTCTATAAAACCAAAAACATAACACCTTAGCCCGCTTCTCCTAACTCATTCTCTGTAAGGCGCTTGAGTGTCGCTACCGGTCACGGACAATTATTCCTATCCCGTGGAGACTCTCTCTGAATTTTCACTACTTTAGCTTTTGATATCGACATTGTTATAGCAATTTGGCAAGGCACTCCACTTGTGCCACTCTTATTCTCATGTTCCATTGCATTTTTTTCTTCAACCAACTGCGCTAATTTCTTAATTTCCCCCAATCCTCGCGGCCTTAGCAAACTAAATGATGCTCGAATTCTGGCTTTAACCCTTTCATGAAGTTGTCTTGATATGCCTCTCAAATGACCGAATAACATATCAAATTTTTCCCTATAATCCATGAAGAACCCTTCATGAACCAGTGCAAAAAATAACTCATATAAATCTTCTTCCCGAAAGGCTTAAAAAAGTTCCAACAAACAATCCTTAAATTACTCCCAAAAGCGGATTGGGTATCTAGCCTCTCTTCACTGAAACCAAGCTAGGGTTTTTCTCTCCAAACACACTCCTATTGTCATAAGCTTCTCCTACTCATTTAGCCCATTCACAGAAAAAAATCACTCCACCCGGTACACCCACTCATGTGTGTCTTTCCCGAAGATCGACATCTTTAACTTCCAAACCCTAACATCTCCACCCCAACTTTCTCTCCCTCCGGTGTTTACTCACATATATCTAGAGAAAACTCCCTCCTTCGATCATAGTAATACCCCATTCTAGCTTCCCTTTTTTCTTCAAGCTCCTCCATACCTCTTGCATGCCCTGCTCCATATTTAGACCCACTAACCTCTGTTAGATTTCTTTAATCCACCCCATCCAAGCCCTAAGAGGAAGTTCTTGATGGTGGACGCTTTCCTCCTCATGTTCCTTTCGTTCGATCTCTTTCTCTTTTGATTTAGCCAAGGATTCTCCGGTCACCCCTTGGTCAGGGTTTGCAAATTGAATGGATTGCATCTCAATAAGCTTCCTCATCATCCCCTCCAAGCTTTCAAATCAACCCTCAAATCGATTTTCCATAGAAGAAAACCTTCCTTATATGATTGAGAACCTTTCTCCATCTCAAATTTAATTTGGCTTGCATCTTCCTCAAATTTCTTCTCCAAATCATCTATTTTCTTGGCAGCCAATCCTCCATGAACAAGGGAAACACTACTATATGTTAAAATCTAGTTGATGGCATCTGAAATAGTCTGAATCGGGTCTTTGCTAGATTGATCCCAAATAACCCTTAAATTAATGTTAATGATTTAATCTAACTATTTTAGATTTAACAAGATTGGAAAAGTTTAATTATATATTATATTATGCTAACTACAATAAATTAATAAGTAATCAGTCTAAAAAGTTATAAAAAAAGACTAATTAATTTAATAAATTATTAATTAATCAAATATAATTAAAAAATAATAAAATGTATATATTGCAAACAAATTTAAATCCAAAAGAAATTGGATATGATCAGATTCAACCTATGTCATGTCAAACAATTTCTGAGAATTAACCATCTCAGCATATTGACTAAATCCAGATTTACAATATTTCCCGAATCCCACAAACTTAAATCCCAAAAAAATTGCCAAACAACCCCTAAAAGTGAAAGTTAAATATAGTTGTTTCAGCATAATATGAAAGACTGAAAAAAAAAATTTTGTTATTTCATAATGAGATAAAAAAAGCAGCTAAATATACAAGTACAACACAACAAAAGAAAGCTAAATAATTATTATGAATTACTTTTCATTATCTAAATCTATTAATGAACATAAACTACAAATATTCAAATACCACTAGTTTGAGAGGCTTACATCGCCAAAAGATTGCAAATTTAGCCAGACATTTGTTCCACTCATGAGAGAAACTTGACGTTCGGAAGTCTCACCTCCAAAAATTACAAAAACCTTCCTTTTTGGGACATTTTCGACTTGCTTTGCTAATTTTAACTTTTGAGACCATACGCTCCAAGCTTTAACGTGTGTTCTAAGAGAAGGAAACCGCAGACAAGCACGGTGAATGATAGTGCGTAATATATTTGAGTGAGAAAATCCAACCTGACAATACATATGACATAATAACTTATATATGGAATTAAATATAGCAAAAATATTGTTATAAATTAAAAGAAACTCAACATTGTACAGATATAAAACATGTGGATATTTAATAACCAATTAGGTGGACTGGTTGAGCATCTTTCTTGTTTTATCTCTTGGATTCCAAGGATTTTCATTTTCAAATCTTTCAATCGGTCAAGTAAAAAAAAAAAGTATTGACACAAAGTGCTAAGCAATCAAAATGCAAATGTGTAGTCATGAAGAGTGATGTGGCAAGAAGCAACTGAATTCATGTCCATATTGATTTTCATGGTATTTATGGCACTAAATCTATTTAATAAAAATTTAAAGTAAAAAATTTGTTCAGATTACAAAACATGCTAAGACAAGTAATTTGATGATTCAAAGAAATAATTTTACTTTGGCTTGCTTCAGTTGGTTTTATCATATTATTTTTTATTTCATTTAGATTTTGAATAATTAGCTGCTTGTCCGGTTCTCTGTTTTCTTTTCTTTAATTTAGGTCGGCACTGTTCTGTCAATTTAACAATTCGCATTAACGAGCAACAGGTTGATGGGCTTAAAGAGAGATAATTTAATGGAAGATATGTATTGTGAGGTTACTGTTTTTGTAGTTATCCGCTGAGCCTGTTGTTCTTTTCATGAGATTTTAGCACCGCAATAATCATTGATTGCAACACTGTTGAGGCCATTGAAACCGGAGCCTAGCCATTTTGATTACACAATCGAGATTAAATAACTTTGGTCACAATCGAGATGTGTTAAGTTCATTTTGTGTTCATATTCGCGTCATATTTAACTGTATTTGGCTTCAAAAATGCAATATATAGCTGACAATGTTAAAGAGTAAGAAAACGGTGAAGCAGAACTATGGCCTACCACTGTAAGAAAATTTTATTTTCCAATTTGTGGGTGCGAAAGGAGTTTGGACAGTACCTTTGAAGCTTGCTGGAACATAAAGCTGCTTTGCTCCATGCCACTTATCTAGGTACAACAAAAACAATCCCAGAATAACATTAAGAGCCATGTTCAGTTAACAGAAGGAAATCAATAAGCCTTATGTTAAAGGGGCATTTACATTCGTAGCATTACAATTCTTATGTCATACATATCTCACACCTAAACTTTCATATTTACATACATAGCACTTCGGTGCTTTAAAACTATGCATGAGAACATGTATTTGACTTTTAAAAAGTATTAATAGTTCCATTTTTTATGTGATATTAAGAATTTGAGTACAATGTGGTTAAATATGAAAGTTTAAGTGTGAGATATGTAAATATATAAGGGTTGTGAGCTATGCATGTAAATGCCCCTAAATAGAAACTCCCTGCTTACCAAATTTATATCAGTAAATACAATGGTACCAGATTTTGTTTCTCCAAATACAAGGTCCTTTTCGGATGATGAAAATAAGTTTACAGGAGAAGGCAAAAACCAACCATCAATCCGAGCATACTCTCGCAGCTTAAAACACTTAAATAGTAAAGCTGCCCCTTGCCTTATATCTTCAATGACATCAGTGGGAAAACGAGGCGGGGTGTGGTATGCAACCTCCAAAAATAGAAAATTTCAAAGGCTTATAAACCCAAAATAAAAACAGCTATCTCGATCAAATATATTTTAATTTAAATCAAAACATGAAAAAATAAAATAAAATATATAGCACTCGAAATATTGCCATCTACAAATTTGGCAACCTCTTTCATCCATTTTTCAAATTCTCACTCAATTATCAAAATTCGTAATAAAACCACAACCTATATTTTTCATTTTATCAAATTCTCAATTGTTTGAATGTGGCACGGGTAAATACATCGGTTCGGCAATTCAAAAATATCACTTGGGTGGTAAATTTTATAAATAGCAATATTTCAGGTGCTATGTATCTAATTATTCCAATGAAAAAAGAAAAATAAAAAACAAAGGTGAGATATGCTCTTCACACCTGCTGAGTTGGGAGATATTTTCTTCGATAGGTGAATAATGTATCCTCGTTAGCATCATTTTTGCTACAAAGCTCCACCTGTCAATGATGTGTTGATAACTAGTCGTTTTAGCTTATGATGATGAGTTGAAACGAAAGACCAAAACTATATTTAGAAAATACAAAAAGAATCAGGGATTCATTAATTTCGTGGCTTACCCAAACAGTTTAACATTTAATCCTTCAAACAAGGGGAAATTTGATTGATACCTTCAAAACTCTTGAAATACTGCATGCAAAATGAATACATTGAATAGGGGCATTTACATACATACCATCCAATTCCAATGTATTTATATATCTGACACCTAAAGTTTACTAATTACTTTTATACCACCCAAATATTTCATCACATAAGAAATACCACCATTTAACTTTTAAAAGGTGAAACCTTTTCATGAATACGTAAGGTAGTATATATGTAAAAACTGAATGTTAGGTGTTATATATGTAACTCCATAGGAAATTGAGTAGTATGTATTTAGTTTTTCCTATTAAATATTGATAAAATAACATCATCATGACCATGAGCCACATCCCAACTATTTCAGACTTGACTTCATGAATCCTCTGTTCAATTAGTCTTGAGTTGCATAAGGTATCAAGTCAAACTTACACAAAAATATTGGACAAATTTTTTCATGTTATCTTTGATCTACGTACTTTCCACTCCATTTTCTTTACAGATATTCTCTCTCCCCAAACAATTAATGTGTTTATTACTTTTCATTTTACATGTTTCAATAACACAAATCTACCTTTAATAGGTGATACCCACCTTATTTTTTTGATATATTCATTTCATGCTCAATTGTTTTTAATTTTTTACCACGAGTTAATCTTAACATTCTCATTTTAGCACACAGCAATCATAACAAGTTCAATTTTACCATGCAGAACCCTCTTATCACGGAATTATTTGCAGTTTATCACTCAAAGGAAAACAACATTATTTGAGTTTGTTAGTTTTAAACAAATATTTATTTATTCTAAAGTGATTCCCCATCGAATCAGCCGGCTTTAAACCCACATTCTTTTGCCTGAGATAAAAGGACATAAACCTATAAAGTACATGGATCATTCATTGTTAGTGAATGCTGAAACTAATTAATTTTAATTTAACGAGCAACAAACTTCTAGATAATGTATTCATTTATTTTACTAATCCTAGATCATTAAATTCCATTATTTTTAGCATTTAACCTACCCTAGAAAAGTAATCTTATATTAAGATATCATAAAGTAGCATAAAACTCCGCTTGAGTATATATACTATACTTCATCAACAGCAATACAAAAGAAATAAGGAAATTTGCATGCACACCACACAATTCTTATGTATTTACATAGCTAATACCCAAAATTTGATATTTACACTTATAACACGATGATGACATAAACTTATGTTTAAAAAGGTGAATTTCACTTTTAAAAAGATAATGGTAGTGATACTTTTTAGGTTAAGTTAAAGATTTACATGTTATGCATGTAAATATGAATGATTAGTGGTTAGATATACAAACATAAGAATTGAGTGGTATGTATGTAAATGCCCCAAAAAGATATAGAATTAATGATTATCCTTGATGGAACTCAGTTTTGACTGAAAACTCTTTTAGTCATTCCATTAATAATCTAGTGCTAATAATTGGTTCATTGAACTCTTAACTCTAATAATTGAACTTTTAAAATCTTTGCAGAATTTCTACAAAAAATATTGTTCTTAATACACATCAAATCATTCCTTTTGCTCTATCTTATTCCTTTTCAAGGTTAATAAAATCATTTGTAGGTCAGTTCCTCTGTGCACTTTTCAATTAATTGAATTTTTCTTATTTCAGGCATAGAATAAAATTAATTCTCTGACAATACAATTTGATTTTCCACGGCCTTTATTCCACTATGCTTGCTTATAATTTTAACAACAAAATTACAAAGTTTGATTGTCGTTCAATTACCACAAATCTAAACACTCACTGGGTCTTAAATACTTGATATTAAAAACGTTGTTCCAGTATTAATTTGGTATCCTTTTAGACAATGAATCTTATATAAAGACGAAGAAATTAATAAGAGATGAAATGACATTTTAAGAATTCTTCTAATTGTCAAGTCTATATATCGCTCAATTTACACATAGCAAGTCTCAAAAAATATGTTTTGCCATTTTTAAAAGCATAATTCTATTCTTTAATTAACATTTTGTACCACCTCACCGCACCGTGATGTCTTCTTAATAATGAGTGTTTTGATTCTATACTATCTTAAAGGGGAATTTCCATACATAGCACACAATTATTATGTATTTACATATCTAACACCTTAACTTTCACAATTACATTTATGACACTCAAAACTCTAAAATCACATAAAAAATACCACCAATGATAACTTTTAAAGGTGAAATACAACTTTTATGAATAGGTTACACTAAAGTGTTATAATATAGGTGTAAATATCAAAATTTAGGTGTTAGATATGTAAATACAAAAGAATTGTGAATTGTGTGGTATGTATGCAAATTTTTCTATCTTAAAACGTCTTTAACAAACTTCAACTTGCTATTGCGTCCAATCAAATTTGGTTAAACTTTAAGGTTTCTAGTTTCCTCTTCTCAACAACCTATCTTTGAAGAATGATAAATTTTAATCATGTAATTCCACCACATTATCCTATAGGAAATTTAACTATTTAGTTCCTTTAGAGTCTAAGGCATACAACAATAATTGCTACCCTATGCTATTTGATTAGACCTTCTCCAGGATTTACCTTATAAGCTCTGCCATATGAATTTTATTTCCTTCTTATTAAAAAATTGAAAAATTTACATACATATCACAAAATTTCTATGTATTTACATGTCTAACACAAACTTCCACTATGTTTATAACATTTTGGTGTGATATACCTATGCATGAAAAGTTATATTTTACATGCAAAAACTAGGCGAAAGTGATATTTTTTTTATCTGAGACTAAAGATTTGAACGGTCACATGTAAATATTAAAGTTTGGGTGTTAGATATGCAAGTATATAGGAATTGTTGGGTATGTATATAAATTACCCTAAAAAATATTCTCCTTTTGACAGGCCCATTGATATGGGTAACTAAAACGTTATTTTTCCTTTAAAATGTATGTTTACCCCTACTAGATTACATATTATTTTATACAACCATTTATCTGCCACACAAAATAAAAGGTTAATTTGTGTACAACTTCCTACAAATAAACAACTTAATGCAATCCATAAGAGTAAAAATCGATGATTTTGTAATGAGCCTTAAAGGTATAAAATATGTCGTTCTGAAAACAACAGCTTATTTCAAAAAAATAAACAAAAGATTACAAAAGTTGTAAACAAGTTTTAAACTACCAAATAAAATATGGGACTGTTTGAGATCACTTTTATTTTTTTCTATATTTAATTTTTATTTTATTTTATTTATGTTTTGATTTGAAACAAAACATGTTTGAGATGCGGGAGCTTTCCCGCATAGATTTTTTCTAGCACAGTACCACGGGATTCAATATTGTGGAGATGGGTCGCCGAAACAATACGGTTTTCCTTTCTTATGCTTCCTTTCATATTATCTTTCATTCTTAGTCATTCCTATATATGTGTTGTATCAGAGTTTGGAAGACAGTTTTTATAGTATTTTTTGTTAGGAAAAACGCCAGCGTCTAGGGTTTCCCTTTCTAGGGTTGTATCTGAAGGCAAGATGTTGTTTTGGTTGTAACTTCTCTGAGGTGGCGATCTTTTTCCAAAGAATCCAATGGTATGTTGCTCAATCTTAAGGGAGTATTTATCCTTACCCAATCCTCCACGACCTCCCCAGCTACTGCAATTGTCTTCCCCTCACTTCTCTTTGTTGCCCTCGCAGTCCCATCCCTCCACCTTTATCGTCGCACTTGTTCCTTCCATCTCCTTGTTGTTTTGACCGCTATCAAGCCCTCCAAACTTGTTGCAACAGCCCAGGACAACAGTCCTGCTATCTTTTTCCACAATCCTGCCACCCCGCAGCCTATTTCATTCATTCCATCCACCACCCTCGTTGCCACAGCCCCAAGACAGCACTCCTGTAGTTGTCCTGAAGTTCAGAACCCTTCCCCTTCACTGTCCTTCGCTGTCCCAGTCCTCTCCTTGGTTGCGCTATCGTTCCAGGCCCTCCGCTTCACTAACAATGCAATACCAACCCCTCATTTTGTTGTCCCAGCAACCCACAACCCATTTCAGCCTCCTACCACCACTCCCCGACCACCTAGCCGACCTCCACCCCCCTCCATCTCGCCGGATCGAGCCCTAGCGTGAGCTTGTCTTTTTTTGCCGAAATTTCCCTTCTGAGTGTACTTAGTTGCAACAGTTTATTTGTTTTTAGTAATAACATTCTTTTTTTCTATTATAGTTTGGGTTAGCTCCGGTATCAGTTTAGTTAGTTGATGTGAACGTTCTTAAAAACATCAAAACATCTAAAACTTTTTTGAATATTTTCAAAAATATGTTAATTTATCTTTGGAGAAAAAACATATGAAAAATAAGTTAAACAAACATGTTAAAAAAAAAAAAAAAAAAGATCCCAAACAAGCCCTAAAGGATTGTATAGGATCACTTTGATTTTCTTATTTTTATTTTTATTTTACATCACTTGTTTTGATTTGAAATAAAATATGATTGACTATTTGATTAAATTATGGTTGTTTCTAAAAACACACAAAACACTAAAATATTATTTTGAGTGTTTTCAAAAACATGTTAATTTATTTTTAGAAACAGAAATTAAAACATGTAAAAAACATACTAGACAATGTTTTTAAACATAAAAGAAAAAAACAAAAACAAAAAAAAGATAAAATTGTTAACTAAATGTAACTTACCTCTGTTGGAAGTAGAGAGACCGGGAGGCATTGAGAATCTGTCCCAACATCAATAACAATGGTCGTAAACTCGCATCCTCCTTCCAAGAAAATCTCAACGAGAACCTTATCATCAATGCCCTGAGGGAGAGAAAAACAAGCTAAATGGATTTGGATATTTCTTCACCACTTGAACGTGTCCATCACTATAAAATAAGCTACCTCTGAAATAAGATCCATAGATTTTAAATAAGAATCATCGACTCCATAAGTTACTGAAACACCTATACTCGATCCAGCCCTCGTTGGCTTAACCTGCGAGCCCATGGAAAGCAATTGTAGTTAGATTAGATACTTTTTTTTCTGCATGAAATGAAGAACAAAAGCATATAATGGGGCATTTACATACATACCACCCAATTCCCATTTATTTACATATCTAACACCTAAGCTTTTAATGCATATGTAAGGTGGTATGCATGTAAAAATTGAAGTTTAGGTGATAGATAAGTAAACACATAGAAATTGAGTGGTATGTATGTAAATCTTCCAAACATAATGTCGCACTTACCACAACTTTCCCTGAATCCTTATCCAATTGATGTTGATCAAACCATTTTGCCAGTTCACTCTTGTCAGAATGATTTGCCTTAAAAATCAGTAACCAGCCAAATTAGAGAACTTATACATTAGTGACAGTTTGAGCAGACATAATAGATAGAAATGAAAACAAAGATATTTATAATTTCTTCGCACAAACTTGCTCTGCTTTCACTCTGATAAGCTATAAAACTGATGTAATTTGGGCATATTTGCATGAAGAATGAACATAAACTAATATTTATAATTTCTTCGCACAAACTTGCTCTGCTTTCACTCTGATAAGCTATAAAACTGATGTAATTTGGGCATATTTGCATGAAGAATGAACATAAACTAATTAATGCAAACGGCATTTAACTGAAAAAATGAAATTGTTTTTAATGTTGTTCATTGCTAATGAAACTATCAAAACTCATACTTCAAAGCATCACATAGTTGAAAAGATAGCAGAATGAATTTTAAAAGAAATGGCCTGAAAATGTAGAATACGAGAAAAGAGTCAAAATGATATGCTAACTGTTTGCAGTGGGCTATTTTAGTCCCAATCTATGATAAGTCAATTTAGTCCACAGAATTTTAATGGGGACTAAAATAGCTCTCCCTCGAAACTATTTCAACTCATATTAAAAGAGCATGGGGACTAATCTGAAACTTTTGTGGACACTTGGATTAAAATGATACTATAAAAGTAGTTAGGGCACCATTTTGAAACTTTACTCTATAGAAAACTAAACTTAAAAATAGTTACAAACATAGTTACAAAAATAACAAGCTAGAAATTACGTTAAACAATTGCATAGTTTATCACAACATATATCCAAAAAAGCACAGTACAGAAAACAAATGAGAAAATGTGTCTTGATATATTCTCATGCTTGGTAGAAAGAAGAAAAATGTACTGCACATAGTATGTCAGAAATTTGTGGTTCTAACTTCAAATCTGACCTAAATTTATGAATAGAGATCAAAAGGCTGAACAAAATAAGCAGGCCTCCAGTTGAACGTAATTACTCTTACGTGTGTAACGCATTTCAAATTTATACTCCAACCCCTCCCAAAAATGAATGAGAGTTTAGTTGAGGTTCTGGGTCAAATTTTTAAAAGGCAAATGACATTATAGATAAGACACTATCTAGAGATTTCACGCTCATTTTGTGAGAACTTTTTAAATTTAGGGTTTGAGGTTTCTTAAGTGCAAGATCCTATGGTTAATTACTGCTCTCGATAATGGGAGAGCACTTTTAATTAAGGCTAATCATGAAGACATTGATTACTCAATATATAGTAGCAGCAAGATGATAATAATATTAAAATCCAAAATTTCAAATTCTATTTTGCTAGGGTTCTAATTTTTTGCAATTACTATTTAAAATCTGATCTTTTATTATGTTATTATGCGTTCATTGTTACATTTTGAAAGTGTGACATGAAATATTTAGTACCAGTACTATCCCAATCTTTCATTTATGCAAGGATGGATCTTCAGAATACCCTGTTCACTGTGTATCAGTTTAGATGTGACACCAATATTCGCTGATGCAGTAATCGAAATTAGAAATGATGGAGCCACCATTGTATATCAGTTAGAACTAAAGCTGCAATAGTCGTTGTACCTATCCACAACATGCGTACTATATGTCATCCTGTGAGGCCTTGCTACATTACAACACCTATATGTTGTGCCCCCGACCTGTGCATGGACCAAGATTTATTGCTCTTTCTATGTCGTGGTTCCTTGAAAGAGAGTCCAGTCTTTGAGAGATTGACTCCTATTGACGCCTCAACTTCGAAGAGGGCTATCATTGAGCAGAAGATTTGTCTGAAACTTGCCAATGCCTACACTCTACCAGCTAAGCCTTTCGTACTTGGAAGCCATGATGTAGAAGCTTCCACATATGGAAGAAAGTTGTAAAGAAGAAAAAGAAGGAAGAATGTTGAATTGAGGGTTCAACGTTTGTTACCTGAGTAACTTGTTAATGGACAAACTGTAATGCCGAAAGCAAGTATTCTCGTTCATAATCAAGTTGAAAATTTGAAACGGGTAAATAGTAATAGCCATACGAACGATAAAAAGTAGTCCTTCAAGAGCCAACGACAACATTCTCTTATCGAAAAGAAGAAGAAATCTGAATCCTTGACTGCATATGTGCATAGGATCCTATAAGTCGCAAAAGAAATATGATTAATAAAAAGGAAATATGAAAGACTTTAGTTCAGGTCTATAACCATCAATTTGTCATCTTCTATGGTAACTAAAAATAAAATTGACCAAGTCCCGTTTGATGAACATTGGGGCAGTCCAATAATCCACAGTCAAAAAGTCCTGATGAAAAGCTAAACAAATACGAATACCTAAGCCTCATGAAGCTGAAAACAAAAGAGAAAGAAAAGTCATGACATTTGGTCTGCGCTCCTGGAGTTCCGTCCTAGAAATATCCATAAAAAATGGGTTCCCAAAAAAGAGCCCAATAATGAAATATATGATAGTCGACACCCTAGAGAATCGTTCAGGGGATCCCATCATCAACAAATTCCAAACTCGAAAGAAGATACAAATATTAATCGTAGCCTTTGATGGATGAACTTTTTACTCCACATGATGAGCTAGAGATTCAATGAAGTCACCAGACATCTGTAGCTCAAAAAATTTGTTGCCCTGACCGCTCTCAAAAAACAATAACAAACGAAAGAGAGTTTGCTTGAGGTTTCGGGTCAAACTTTCAAAAGTTAGATGAAATTGTATATGAGACACTACCCATTTAATGAGGACTTCTTGATTTGAGGTTTGAATTTTCCCATAGGCGCAAGCCTATATCATTAATTACCCATCCCAATAAAGTGAAATCATTTTCAATTAAGGCTAGTCTTTAGAATGTTGATTACTTAGCATATTGTAGCAACAATTTATGATTTTATATTATAAAATTTGATTGAATTTTAAACTGTAAAAGTTTATCACTAAAAGATTAAAGGCATATTATTAGGAAAATGATGACAAATCCGGTCAAGATCTTATAGTTCCATCATCCTGGGTTATCAAAGACCCTAATCTACTTAATTCGAGGAGAAATCGGTTTGACCTGACTAAAAGATCCTTGTCAACAGCCACAGATTGCTTCGTCCAAGGAGATGTTATAGACCTGGGATGGATGTTTATCTAAACAGACTAATTTAAATCAATCTCATATAACAAAGAATTTTATGTCCTATCAAATATACCGTATGATCTATGTCTCAAATAATAGTAATTGGAGAAGCATATGGTCTACAACCATGATTGTAATTTAATGATTTAGAGCACTCGAGTCATAACCACTTTTTGTTGAGTCAACTAGTCAAGCAACGCAGACCGAGGACACAAGTCATTAATAGCATTAGTTGATTTAAAAGAAAATGCAGTGGTATACTTAATGATACTAGCTTCATGCGAACTGAGGCCAATCATAAATTTGTTGCCCTCGACGAAGAAATATGGACAGTGGATAGATTTTTGTTTTTCTTTTTAATGAATTTATTTTAATATTTTATAACATTTTATGAATTTATAGGATTTTATCAATTCTTAACACTTATCAGAACTTAATAAATTTGGTGAAATTATCTCATTTGATTAAAATTTTCTATCAACACGACCATCATTGAGATTTTGATTGTATTTGATCAATCGATTTGAATCTAATCAACTCTATCTTGCTCACAGATGAACGAGTTCAAGAATTATAATAATTAATTATTTTAGGATAAAATTTAAAGTTTAATTTCAAAATAGAATGCTCGAATTTAAATTTTCTATAAACTTGGCCAAATCGAGAATTTAATTTGACTGCTTGATTTAAACAATGTTAACTTTCTATCTTGTTTGTAAATGATCAAGCTTATAATATATATCATTTGAGTCTCAAAAATAGATTTTGAGACTTAATTTTGAAAATAAACCTCTCATGTTAAAATTCACTATCAATACGACAATCATCAGAGAATTAATCTGTTAATTCAAAACCTATCAACATTGTTCCATTTACAAAGGATCTGGTTCAAAATATTGAATTTCCTTCTTATATTATAGACCATATTGACTCAATCTTGTTTATCATTCTCGTCATGAAGTATTATCATTTTTAGTATAATATTTAATGTTATTGAATGCATGGAGATTAACAATCCAAAAAAACACAGCAGAGATACAAATGAGAAAAAGTGTCATGATATATTCTCATAGTTGGCAAAGAGAAGAAAAATGTGCTGCACATAATGTGGCAGAAATGAGGTTCTAACTTCAATCTGATATGAATTTATGAAAAGAGATGAAAAGCCAGATCAAAATAAGCCGGCTTTTAGTTGAACATATTTACTCTTTCGTGTCTAATGCACTTCAAATTTGGAAGATTCGCATGCATACCACTTAATACTTACGCATTTACATAACTAACAAATAGACTTCAATTTTTACATACTTCCACCTTAAGGTCCTTAACAAAACAAAAAAAAAGGTGTATTTCACTTCTTAAAAGCTAAAATAATGGCCTTTTATGTGTATGAAAGATTTAGGTGGAATAAATGTAAAATTCAAAGTTTAGGTGTTAGATATGTAAATACATAAGAATTAGGAGGTATGTATGTAAACGCACCTTCAAATTTACAATACCAGAAGGCTTATTTCAATAAAGAAATGCAGATGGATGTTTTGAAGAATTGATAGAACGGAGACATAAATGGCATAGAGAAATGATTGAAAATCTTACAAAATACTTAATGAAAAACATAATAATAATAATCTAGCAAAAATTTCTCTGGTTCACACCTGTATCAGAAAGCTTGGTATTGTGACAAATCCCTTTTTCTTGAGCTCAACCGAAGCATTGTACTGTAGAGAGGGTTTAAGAGTTCATCATTAGACGCCACTGTGGCTTAATGATAAAGTTGCAAAGCAAATGTATTTGCATATCTCACACATAAACTTTTATATTTACACACACGCCACTGAAATCTTTAATATCACATTAAAAAACAACACTATTACCATTTTTTAAAATTGAAATACACATTTCATGGAGAGGTTTAAATGCCAAAATATTACGTATGTAAATGTGATAGTTTAGATGTGAGATATGTAAATACATAAGAATTGTACGCTATGTCCCAATTAACAATCAAGGATTAGCGAATCAGTCAACCAGTTTCAGGCTTTACAGGTTAGCTAAAGAAAATAGTAACAAGAAAAATTTTAAATTTTGAAGAAATGCAAGAAAACAGAGAAAAAGATATTGGCTAACTATAGAAGTTTGCAAATTGACTACAGAAAGAGTTTATGTTTAAATCAGGATTTCAACTTAATGATATAAGCCTATGAATAATGGATCATGTATCAAAGTAATATTGAAATTGAATTTTCTTGCATAACAGATACTCAAGAGTCAATAAATGAAATATTATGAAGATTACCGCTTCGTCGATCACTTGTTGAACACAAAAAGTAATCTTTTTGAATGCCAAAAAATAGCTTTTTGAGAAAAAAACATCAAAGAGAGAGAATGAAGGGCTACCTTGTCAAATGCTTGACGACATTCGGCTGAGGGGGTACCAATAAATGGAACATTCGCTTTCTCCAATAGCTCCTGAAATTTTTCCAAGCAGAATAAAAAAGCAAGCAACCATACAATAGAGAAAAGAAAATGATTTTCCAAGCAATATGACATTCCAAAATAATGATGATTTTTTTTTTTGGGGATAAAGGTTAGGTTGACATTGAAAAGTGGTCAAGAAGATCTGTAGCCACACAAAAAGCGAGTGATTATGTTCTCCGGGTTATAGAAAAACTAAGGTCTTGTTTGGGATCAATTTTTATTTTTAGTTTTCTGTTTTCTCTTTTGCTTTATTTCAAAAACATCTTTTCGTATCGTACTTTTGTTCTTAAAAACAAATTAATTTAATTTTTAAAAACACTCAAAACGCTCACAAGTTGCTTTGCGTGTGTTTAAAAATAACTCAACCTGTTATAACCTATCAAAAATACTTCAATTTAAGTAAAAGCATAAACAAAACAAAACAAAAATAAAAAAATTATCCCAAATGTCCCTAATAAAATAAATAAGGTGCATTTACATACATAGTTCACAATTCATATGACTTTGCATGTCTAACACCTAAACACTCATATTTATATGCATAACACTTGGATCTTTTTAACACCACATTAAAAATACCACCATTATTACCCTTTTAAAAGAGGAATAATACAAATTGTTACAAATGTAAATACCAAACCCTGGGTGTCAGATATGTCAATACATGAGAATTGTGTGATATGTATGTAAATTTCCTAATGAATAAAAAAAAAATGCAAGAACAAACTAGCAGTATTAAATCATAGGACAAACCTGAATGCCTCCATCCTCACCAAAACGGCCATGAATAACAGGGAATACTATATCTACAGATATCGCAAGGTGTTCCGCAAATGCAGTTAAAGAACTAAAAGCATGAGCAAGGCTGCAAGAAGTGCGGTGTAAATTTAAGTTGGATGCGAACAGCATAAAAACAAAAAGAAAGATGCAAAAAAAATTCTAATTTTATGTAGAAATACAAACCTTTCTAACTTAAAATCAAAATCCGCAGGAGTGTTTGAGTATAACTGTCAAAGATGAAAATGCCCATCAAAATAAATGGATCATAAAGAATATAGATATTGCATTGTAAACCATCAAACTCCTAAACTATGTCCAATTAAACATTATTTTTACAAACAAGTGAATATTGTGGGTTAAGTAGGGATCTACATATGAACTTTAAAAAGAATACAGAAATAAAAAAAGATGCTGCGGTGATACATCATGCTGAAAAGAATACCATCATCAAAAAAAGATGGGGCATTTACATACCACACAATCTTATGTATTTACATATCTAACGCCTAAACTTTTTTTTTTTTTTTTTTAGTTGTTCCATTTTTTTAATGGGTAATCTTTAATATCACATAAAAAACCACCATATTAACTTTTAAAAACTGAAATACACCTCTTCATGCATAATTGGTATGTATGCAAAAATTAAAGTTTAGATGTTAGATATGTAAATACACAGGAATTGAATGGTATGCATGTAAATGGGAGTATTAATGAGAAAAAAGACCCCAAAAATGCAGAGTAAGGCGCACATGGAACATGAATGAGAAGTTGGGACCAAAAAAATCATAAAAATAGAATTATTGCCCATTAGAAATATATATAGAAACATAAATATCAAGTTGAAATTAAATTTTGTTAATAAAATTTGCAGAAACGCTAACCTGTGCAGATGATATTGCATATGCATTGAAATCACAATCAATGTAGTAGCAGCTAACTTGCACATCTTCTCCCTGAGGTGAAAAAAAAATAATGGCGAGAATTTTTGTTGTCTTTAGGTAGAAGAACTATAAAAAATAAAACCCCAAAAAAAAAGAAAAAAGAAAAGAAAAGACAATTTGCAAAATAAGCCAAAGTTTTTTTGCACCAACTTAATCTCAATGGCCTGTCTGAGCGTTTAATCAAGGAAATGGAGAAAATATCACGTATAAAAACTTACAATGAAAATCATTAGTGAAAACAAAAATAAGACCGAGGTGAAAACAAACACATAGGTAAGGTTTAAAGAAACCATTTGAACATTAATTTTGATGAAATAACAATTCGTTTACAGCATGATAAGAAAAAATTATGCAAAAGATAATAAACCCAAAAGTAAAGGTGGTATACAAAGTAAACCTAAATCTCAATGCAAAACTTTATTGTAATAGTATGAACTCTTACCCATCGATATATTGTCTGTTTGGCCTAATTGTCTCACGGTTTTGTCCTGTCGGTGTAAGTTCACAAGAAGTCACCCATCTCAGGAGAGCTCCTACACGAACACGCTTAACTCTGAAGTTTTTTTATGAAATTTTAACCATTGCACCAAAAGACATCACGATGATTAAGAGTTTAGTTTCATCCTATTAAAGGGGTATCATATTTATTCACAGCTTATATATGTGATCAGTCAATGCATTATAAAAATCTCACATATAAAAACATATCCAAAGAAAAGAGACAAATCATGGACACTGGGACTAAAGTATGGATTCATGTTTCAACCAGGCCCAAAATTCATCAACTTTGCCACACTTGAATTCGATTTATCCCAAATTAATCCGCAAGTTAACAATGGGCCTCAATCTGAGCTAACTTATTGTAAAGGACCTGAGTCATTAATTTAATTTTAGTGAGTGAGAAATACTGGTATGCAAAGACATAGATCACGATTTACTGCATAGCAATGAATGCCAAAGCTCTAACTAAGAAAAAATGAGTAGAAAGTACTATAGTCTTCTAAATATAAATCTTAAGGGAAAATAGAGTAAATAAGTGAGAAAGAATTTGAGGCGTGTCCTTGCTTTCCTTGAAGAGCAACAACCCAATATTCATTCTTTTGAGGGTAAAATAAAACGATAATTGTCCTCCACAACATGTTCTCCAAGATCACCACCTTCATCTTTTATAATCATTTGAAGTAGTTTCCAAAGCAACCTACTCATTCCAACATCCAAGTTAACCATACAAGAAAACTCTAGGAAGATTGCCAATTGATGTTTTGAACTGAAAGTTTTGGCCAACAAACATATTGCATAAATTTATTGTTATTTTTTAAATCTAGTTTTGAAATGTCGAAATTATTTTGTAGTCGTTCTTAAGTTCATGAATTAGAAATATTTAGAAATTTTCTTAGTTCATTGTATGAAGTGTATTAATTTAAGAGCATAAAATGAAACATAACCATTAATGTCCAAGGTGTAGTCTTTTAAAACACTTGAAGCCACTTGAAGCCATTTTTAAACACATTGTGCTTTAATAAGTTTATCCACTCCATAAAATGATACATTAAGGAAAGTGTGACTTCTCATAGCCCCTCATATTATTAGTAGATGTTTGAGTTATTTCCATTCATTTGTGTGTTGTTCTTCAATTTATAGGAGCAGGCATATGAGAATGATTATCATTATTTGTGGGTGGAAACTTTAAGTTCAGAGTGTCAGTTCAGATTAACGAATCGAGTTTGGGTCTGAACCAAAGTTAACCCGGCACAAATATAATTGACCCGAACCCCAACCCAATTGATAGATGGGTCAAATATTTATCCCGAACTAGCCTAACCCAAACTAGACCATCTAAATGTCATTATATGGATCATGCAATATATTGAATTAGCACAGCCCAATTAACCAAAATATGAAATGTTTAACCCAATTTACTAGACCCAAACGTGCCTAAACAAAATTTAATTAATAATTGTGTCAATTTTAAGTTGATTTTGAGGTATTCAGATTAACTTAGACCCAATATGAATGATAATTGGGTTTGGTACTTTAAAGTTTAATGCGAACAAGAAAATTTGCTCTATTAGCTCGAAGATAAATTTAGTTGATTTAGTTATTGATCTCATTATTGAGCTCCTCAATTTGCAACTATTATATTCTGTTTTACCTCATTGGTAGAAAATTGTATGAGGTTGTTGTAAAAAATAATGGCCACTCCAATGACATGTCCTGTAGCTATTAAGGATTTGCAAACATTGAGAACCTCAAATGCAAAGATGAAGTTCTCCTTACAAACTTCACAAAGCCTATCAGAGCATACCAATCTTATGATAATTGTTAGATATTGAAAATAACAATCTTACTTAAAGAGATATTTCTATCTTTGAATGTCATTTAAAAGCTAAAAAATCACTGTAGAAGTGCATTGCCCTTTTAGAATTAGGGGTGTTTGGCTTGTTGAAAAAGTAATGCAGTGTGAAATGAATGCAATGCATAGCTAATGTATTATCTTTAGAATACTTTGAAGTTGTTTAGTTCAATTTAAAATAATCGTACGACTTGGTATTTTTTTTTTTTGATGTAGAATAAAAACAAAATATTTCAAAGTTTGCGATATCTTACATAAATTATTGGATGTCAGAGCAGTGCGCGGCAGTAACGACAGTAATACTTTATAAATAGTTGTGTATTTAGAATTCACCCAAATCCAATGAATTCCAAATACACAGAAAATGAACTAAGGAATGAATTCTAAATACATTTTTATTTTAAACTATTATAATTCTTTTGACTGAATGCCTAGCTTTTCAAAATTCTAGCTAAAGGAATGCAATGCACTTCTTTTGCAATCGACCATATAGTCCCTTGGAGAACATGTTTTGAGAATCACATAAGATGTATCTTTCCTGACAAGAAGAAGCATGCTCTCCTAAAAATTTTTATTAAAAATGAACTAATTTTTCATCCTTGGCGGAGACTGAAAGTCTTCTTTCCTCTCACTAATTCTTGACTCAATAAATGGTGAGTTACATCCCTATTGGAGATGGAGAAGTTTATTCAACAAAAAGAAAGAAAATGATTTAAAAAGAAAAGGAAACCAAATAGATGCCAGCAGTGAAAGAGAATTTCTTCCAAATGGGGTGGAGTTTAAACATGATTGTATAAAAAAAAAAAATTGTTGGATAAAAACGATTATAAGAATGTCAATATTAGTGACACTTCAAAAGAATAAGACTAGGTAAGATTTTCTAGAGAATTCTTCCTGAATAGAAGCCTTTGCAGTAGTTCATTTTAATAAAAAGTGGTTTGTTGATTTTAGTTGTAAGCATCACCATATTAAAGACAAATTCAATTTTTTTAATGCTTCAACATTATAGATAAAATGAATCTATCGATATTCCAAATACATATTCTCATATGAAAATAATCTTTTTTGAGGGGCAAATCTGATAAATATTAAAGGTTATGTGAGGTTCCTTCAAAACATCTTAAGCTCAAAAATTAATGTTGCCCACATAGGGTCAAATTTCTTTATGGCCGCTTCTTATGTTTAACAAGATGAGGACAAATGTGCACAATAGATTTTTATGGAGATCTAAATTTAACCTCACCTTCGACGAAGGGTAGTATAGAATGAAATGAAGTTTATCTTAATGAAAAGTAGATTACCTTCGATTTTATAAGACTTCTTCAAGAAACAACGACTCTTTAACATGTATCCATAGTGATCTATTGGGGCCATAAGAAAGCCCTTCATATTCCACATTCCCTAAATTTTATCATTATTGATGATTTTATAATGTTTTCCATCGGTTTTCCTTGTTAAGAAAATATTGAGATTGAGATTTCTAGTGAATTCGAAAAGTTAAAGCAAACTATGGAAGGTTTGTGTTCCCTACAAAAGAGTCATAAAGTTAAGCATAGATAAGGGTTTCTCATTTTGCCAACATGCATGCAATCAAGATGGAACTTTCTTGTACATATGTCTCAGCAATAATATTTATAAATGATATTTTAAATTAAAATTTATTTATTATTATTATATCCATTTTCATTATTAGTATCATTAATTGACTTCTCATTTTTTAGTTCTCTTTTTTATTTATAACTATTAATTGGTAATATGTGTGTTTTAACTCTCCAATAAAATTTTTCTACATGTGGCAAAAATTTCAGCTAACATAAAGATTGAGAAGGAATAAAAAGTGACAAATACATTTACAGAACATTTCACACTCATCTATGGAATGTTGTTTCTAACCATAAAAATCATGCATACCACCCAATTCCTATGTGTTTACATATCTAACACCAAAATTTCACCTTTTCTTACATTCATAACACCCAAATCTTTCATATCACATCAAAATACCACCATTGGTGTATGTAAGTAATGCATAGATGAGGTGCATGTAAGTAAAAACTAATGTTTAGGAGTTAGATATGTAAATACATAGGAATACATTGGTGTATGTATGTAAATCTTCCAAAACCATATGAAGCCAACAGCAGGGTGTATTTACAAATTAAACATATAGAATTAAATGCAGCACAATTTACATTATCCACCTTCAAACTCTAGTATTCATCAATGAAATCAGGTGCAGAAAACAAAAGCAATCAATCCAGCAGTGGACCTTTAGCAGTCACCCATTATTCATCAAGTTGAAATTTTTAAGAATGGCAACTTATCAAATTACTAAAGCCTTAATCAATGTATACTCACCTGAACGTGGTCCAGAACAGACCTCGCAGAATTCAACGAAACCCCGCGTTCTGCAGAAGGACCACCACACACAATCCCTAACCTCAGCGGCCTTCCCTTCACTCCATCCTTCTCATTCAACCCCCATTGACCCTTCTCCTCAACCACCGCGGCAGCCTCAGCAGAGGCTCGAGGAACCTTAGTCCAGACTCCTCCTGCCGGACATCGATACGGACGGCTCGGAAAAGAAGCAGAGCTCTCGAGGTGAGCAGTACGAGCTTCTCCGAAGCTGTGGCCTCGCCTTCTTCCATTTCCAGACGAGAGGCGAACAAGGGAAGAGCCAGAGAGAGAAGCCATGGCTGGAGAAACCTGAGAATAGCAGGGTTTTTGGGGGTGGAAAAAAATTGTGGGCATTTGAAGGGGGGTAGTGGAGCGACCATGGCGACAAGGATTGAGACATGCTTTTTTCTGTTTTTCTTCTGAACATCGTTTTCAGGACGAAGATATATTATTATACTGAGGAGAGTGCGTGGGACTGAAGCTTCCATGAACGTTCCGTCTGTCTTGCTCCAGTGAGCTTCGCATACGTAACTCTTAGGATCGAACTGGAGAACATACACGCACATATTTAAAACCTTGACGGCGGCGGTCGACTTGACAAGGGGGGTTCTTGGTGTTCACCTAAGTTAGACACTCATAATTCTTATATAATATTGATGTGTAACACTTTTAGATGATTTAATTGACTAAAAGGCTGTAAAATTTTATAATCAATCAAAAATATTAATTAAAATAAAAATAAAAATATATTAAAGTATATTTAAATGATATTTTAGTATAAATAATAAGATTTAAATCTCGCCCCAACACTTAACATCACACGATTGCATGACTAGGGTTGTCAAAACTATTTTGTTCGTGTACAGCTCGTGTTCGGCTCACTAAGCAAACGAGTCAAACACGAACATTGATATATTTTAACTAGCTTAACACGAGATGAGCTCGTGTTCGACTCGTTTACATCCCTATGGTAGACTAATAATTTAAGTGTCTGTCTGAGGCATGTTGCACGACAGCTGTGGCAGGAAGCTAATGCACATAAACTAACAGTGTTTGTTTTCTACAGTTTCGAAATAGTCGAGTTGCAGTTGTTTCCAAACAAATAACTTTTCTACCCCTATACTATATTGTTATTTATAATGAATTGTTCTTACTAGCACATTTTATACTTTAAATCAAACATTCAGGTTGAATGTTACAAAATCAAAGTAGACATCTCATATAAATGTGAGTGAAATGACCATCAAAATTAAAAGTAACTTCAGAGAAAGAACAATATAAAATACTGTTATATTCGAAGCACGTCCGACGACATTCCTGTCACAAATAGATGTATCGTGTTTCACTGGTGTTCTTACTATTAGAACTACACTCTACCATGCTCTTAAAAAAAACCTAAGATGTTAGCGTTCAACGAACATTCAATGTACATGTAAAACGAAAGTATTGGAGACACCTTAATTTTATATGAAAATTATAGAAAGTGAGAAAACATGAGTGGTCAGTTGAAATAATTCTCTACATAATTGGGAGTAAGCAGATCCACTCTTCTCTAGAATTAAGGAATAGTTATAAAGTTAATATAGAGTGATAATTTAGCAATAATAACTATAATGGGCCACTAAAATCATTTTTGATTGCCACAAAAGTAGTAACCAACCAAGAATATTGTAGATGATGATTGTAGTGTCAGTTTGTCGTAGATATTGTAGTTGAATGTCGTAGCAGTAGTTGGCTATGTATGTCATAAGTTGTTGCTTCGAGAGTGTCAGTTGGCCACAATGGTCGTAGTAAGGAGTTGCGGGAGCCGCGAGCCACGTAAGTCATAATTGGTCATGGGGTCATAGTGATAAATTATGATGACATTTGTAGGCTATAGACCGGAGTCAGGTGCAGCACGAGCTGTAAGCCACTTAAGTTATAGTTGGTCACGTAGATTGTAGTTGTGAGTTGTGACGACGCCAGTAGGCAGCAAAGACTAGAGTCAGGAGTTGCACGAGTGTGATCCACACAGGTCATATTTGGTCACCTAGGTGGTAGTGGTGAGCTACGATGATATTAGCAAGTCGTTGAGGTCGGAATCGTGAGTTGCATGAGCTATGGGTCATATAGAACCCCAAGACTCATCCTAGGTTGCATAACTAGAGCATCAGCTCAACGACATTAACCTGTGATGGACATAGTCATATCAAATCTACCAAGAACTTTTGACATATATGAGGCTGCTAGTCAAAGCTTCTACTTAATAACTATAACATGTGATGAAAGAAGTCATAATGAATCTCCCTAGGATCAATTAATTCCACAATGAGATGTTAGAAAATGTTCTACATTTCTCAAGATTGTGCATGGTCAAAAAGGACCAATGACTTTCTTGAAAATATAGTTACAACCATACTAAAGAATGATGTTTGGAAATTTGCTAGTTGTTTTTAAATTTCTTGTCCCCCAATAGGGGTGTTTTTAATGCTAGCTTATAAAGTAGTTCATGCATCAAACTTTGAAGAGAACGTTTGTCTAATCTAGTTAGAAAAAAAAAACTCAGTATGATGAGGGGGCTCTGTTGACCTCACTTTTGGTTGAGGTCTAGAAACTTCTTTAGTAGCCTAGGTCTAGCCATAAGACTTTCCTATTGACTAGTCTTAGAAAATTAGAAAAGGTACCCCTACCATTAGAAATTCAAAACTCTTCTTTTAACTCAACTTGAAATTCCACATAATGATCTTAACCTCTAGCATTTAGTAGATAAGATCATTATAAGAGAATTCAAGAAGAGTCCCTATAGGATTATTTGACTTTAGGATTGACCCTGGGTGTTGACTTAGAACTAGGGTACACCATATCTTCACAATATATTAATCCATGGTTCATTTAGAATGGATATTTATCCAATTCTATGTAAAATGCCTAACTTGGTCTTTTGCCCCGAGGCACCTCCAAATTACCTAACTACCCTTGGGACCCAAATTTGGCTAAAATTCCCAA